CCAATTTCCAGACTGTTCTTTCAAGAGAAAGCCGAGAGGACTCCTCAGGCTGCCCACATGGCGCCTGAGCTTAGCTTCCTCCTGTGCCAGGCAGCCTGTGGGCTGTCTCTGGACTCTGTGCGGGGGGGCGCTCAGTGACAGCCATCCCTCATGGCGAATCCAGACAGAGGGTGCTGGCCTGAGCCTGGCACAGAGGCCTCCCTGGCCCAGCATGTGGGAGGGGTGCTCTCGCCAGTTCTCGATCTGACCTTTCTGGCCAGAAGAGCTTGGCCACTGTATCTGACCACTGCTCCTTAGAACATGGACAGACACCTTCCTGCTGGGGTGTCCATAATCCCAAGAGCTTGGCAGTGTCACAGGATGCTGGTGTCCGGAGTGATCTTCTCTAGGGGAGCGAGGTGCCTCATGGGCTTTCATCAGATGAGTGTGCATTGACAAATGCCATATGATTCATGAGAAACTGGGCAGAGATCAAAGGTCCCCTTCCCTGCACCCCACAGAGTGCGGGACCTGGGAGGGCTCCTGACCAGCTGCTCGTCACTCTGCCCCAATTTCCAGACCGTTCTTTCAAGAGAAAGCCACCGAGAGGGCTCCCCAGGCTGCCCATGTGGGGCCTGAGCTTATCTCTCCTCCTGTGCCAGGCAGCCTGTGGGCCGTCTCTGGACTCTGTGCGGGGGGCGCTCAGTGACAGCCATCCCTCATGGCGAATCCAGACAGTGGGTGCTGGCCTGAGCCTGGCGCAGAGGCCTCCCTGGCCCGGCATGTGGGCAGAGGGGCTCTCGCCAGTTCTCGATCTGACCTTTCTGGCTAAAAGAGCTTGGCCACTGCACTGCAGGAGTCCCTCCAGGAGCTCCGTGTGACCTGACATGTGTGGGACATGCTCAGTTTTGATGCCCAATGTCCCAGGAGGGGCACAGAGGCTGGACCCCACATACTTGGAGGTCTGTGGTTGGCCTCCCTGGTGACCTGAGCTCTCCCAGGTCACCTCAGTTCTTCCAGGTGACTTCAGTCCCTCTAGATTTCACCAGCTCTCCTGGTTGATCTTAGCTCTCCCAGGTGACATCGGCTCTCCCCAGTGACCTCAGCATTCTCAGGTGCCCTCAGTCCCTCTCGTTCACATCAGCCTTCCTAGGTGACCTTAGCCTCCCATGTGACTTCAGCTCTTTCAGGTTACCTTTATTCAGTCTTCTCAGGTATTCTCAACCTTCCCATCTACTTGGGCCCTCCCAGGTGACCTCAGCCCTCACAGCTGACCAAAGTACTCCCCGGCAACCTCAGTCCTCCCCTTTGACCTCAGCCATCCCAGGTGACCTCAGCTGTCTCAGGGCACAACCTTGCATGGCGACTTTGGCTCTTGCAGGAGGTGGGTTACTGTGAGGGCATGAGCCACATTGCTGCCATCCTGCTCATGCACCTAAACGAGGAGGACGCCTTCTGGGCACTGGTCCAGCTCATGACAAATCGGCGTCACAACATGCACGGTAGGTGAACAGCTGCCCACAGTGCCTTGTGCAGCCAAGCCAGGGATGACCACTCTGGCCAAGTGATGGCGGCTTACAGCCATGGCACCGTCCCTCTCCAACTGTTTATGAGTCTCCAGGACAGTCCCCTAGGGACAGTCCCCCAGCAGCCCAAGTCTGGACAGGGACCTGTAACCCTGAGTTGGACACCTTGTGTCTCGGTCAGAGAAGGGAACCGCAGCCTCGCTGTGGCCTGCGTTCTGTTTCCTGTGGCCACGGCCCTGTGGCCTCGTCCTTGTCCAGGCCTTTTTCTCCTTTCTGCTGGTCCTTCTGCCTCACGCTGGCCATCCTGCCAGCCTCCCTTCCAATAACCAGACAGAGCTCAGTCGGCAGCGTCTCCCCAACTGGTGTCCCCCAGCCAGACCTGGAGTCTAAGAGACAGCCACACACCCCCCATCACTCACACCTGTCACCCCGATGGCTGCACACGGCTCCAACGTGGCTGACACGGCCCTTCAATCCGCCATCGTCCTTCCTTACTGCCTAGAAGTCGGCCCAGTTCTACTGGGGCCTCATCCCAGGACACAGCTGGGCAGCGAGTCTACCAATGCTTGAGAGGACATCCCCACCCATTGTCCTCAAGGCTGAGGACACATAGTGGGGTCACTGGGTGGGAAGAGGAAGAAGCCTTGGGTTTGGGGGCACCCTGCAATGCCCAACTCCTCCAGCCTTGGACCTCAGCCTTCCCAGGTTACCTCACCTGTGTCAGTGTACGGCCTTGCATGGCTGGCTCCACCTGGCTGGGGAAGCAGGTGCTCATGTGGGGGGGACCTTGTGTTTCTCAGGATTCTACATACCAGGATCCCCAAAGCTCCGCATACTCCAATTCTTTCATGAGCTGTTGCTCAGAACAATACTGCCTCAGCTACAGAAGCACTTGGTGAGTGAACCTTCCCCTCGCCTCCTCCCTGGAGGGCCTGGGTCCCAGCAGGTCAGGAGGACAGGGACAGCCCAAGCCCCTCCTGCCACAGTGATGGGTATAGTCACCAGAGCCTTTTCTGGAATATGTAACTGTCAATGGGTTTAAAGTTTGGTTTCCATTTCCTTCACCTGGAGGGAGAAAAGCACGGGGACTAGGGCCACGGCCCTTCAATCCGCCATCGTCCTTCCTTACTGCCTAGAAGTCGGCCCAGTTCTACTGGGGCCTCATCCCAGGACACAGCTGGGCAGCGAGTCTACCAATGCTTGAGAGGACATCCCCACCCATTGTCCTCAAGGCTGAGGACACATAGTGGGGTCACTGGGTGGGAAGAGGAAGAAGCCTTGGGTTTGGGGGCACCCTGCAATGCCCAACTCCTCCAGCCTTGGACCTCAGCCTTCCCAGGTTACCTCACCTGTGTCAGTGTACGGCCTTGCATGGCTGGCTCCACCTGGCTGGGGAAGCAGGTGCTCATGTGGGGGGGACCTTGTGTTTCTCAGGATTCTACATACCAGGATCCCCAAAGCTCCGCAGACTCCAATTCTTTCATGAGCTGTTGCTCAGAACAATGCTGCCGCAGCTACAGAAGCACTTGGTGAGTGAAACTTCCCCTCGCCTCCTCCCTGGCGGTCCTGGGTCCCGGCAGGTCAGGGAGACAGGGAAAGCCCGAGCCCCTCCTGCCACAGTGAGGGGCATAGTCACCAGAGCCTTTTCTGGAATATGTTACTGTCAATGGGTTTAAAGTTTGGTTTCCTTTTCCTTCACCTGGAGGGACAAAAGCACGGGGACTAGGGCAGACTCAGGCCGACCAGGGCTAAGGACATTTGGTCATCTGAGGATCTGTGCAGGGGGCAGGGGCCAGACTGCAGGGAGCCCTGGCCACCACCCCCAGGTATGTTGCCCCTTGAGAAACCGCCTGCCAGAGGGCCCTGGAACTGGCAGCTTTTCAGGCCAACCCAGGGGTCCCTGAGCACCTGTGTTCCTTCTGTCAGGACAACCAGGGAGTGACAGCAGACGTATACAACAACTGGTTCAGCCAGTGCTTCATCGAGGAGGTAAGGCTGTGCAGGGACACCCCGGGCTGGACACCCTCATTCCGCTCAGCACCTGGCTCCCCCAGCCTGGGCATGTGGCTCCCTTGGTCGAACCCAGATGATCCCACCTCACAGGATGCATAGACATGTCCCTGCTGGAGAGACAGGCCAGGCCCTGCAGAGGCCTGTCCCATGAGGGAAGCCAGGCCTCTGGGTCAGAATCACGGGCCAACCCAGCCATGACCTATCCTGGAAGAGCCCTAGGAAGCCCTGAGCCCCCAGGAGTCCCTCTGTCCGGGAGACACGCCTCTCTGCTCTGAATTCACCCCTTGAGAAGCTGCAGGACCATGTCTCAGGCAGCCTCATGGAGAATCTCCTCCCTGCTTGGGGCTCCACACTACAAAGTAAGGCCCCAGTGGGCCGACCTCAGTCCACCATAGCTTGGCCCAGCCAGGCCTGCATCTCCCACACCTGCTCTTCCCGCAGATCCCTTTCCACCTGACCATGAGGCTCTGGGATGTTTACATCCTGGAGGGGGAGCCAATTCTAACAGCGATGGCATTGACAACCATGAGAATTCATGGAAGTAAGTATACCTGTTCCCCAGGGAACTCAGGGTGGCAAGCAGACAGGACAGGACCTGGCCTGCCAAGGGCAAGTGTTTACACTGACCACAAGGCCGCCTCAGCCCAAAGTGAGCCAGTCATGGATGGGGGAGGGGCCGAGCCAGGCCAAACATGGGGGGTGGTGCAGGGCACTGTGGGTGTTTCCAGACACCGAGCCCACCCCCTGACATGCCACTGACAGAGGGCAGGAATGGGGAGGGCACTTTCCTGGCCTGGTCTGCTTCTGGCCCTGGCCTCCCATGTGTACCTGGAACCCAGGTATGGCCAAGGCAGGACCCCGCAGCCACCCAGGAAGAGGTGCCCTGAAAGTGAGCAAGGTCTGGGCACTGAATCACCTGGGGGGGACCTCTTCTAGCCTGACTCCCTTCCCCATGTTTAGAACTCCTCCAGAAGCTTCACCAGGCTGGCATCCTGGCATTTTTTACGGAAGAGCTGTGCAGGGACTGGGCCATCCACGATGATGACGTGCTGAGGCAGCTTCGGGTTTCGGTCGAGGAAGTGCGTGGAGCCAAGTGCGGCTTGGCCCCCTTACGTGAGTGCAGCAGTAGGTGCCCTGGTGACTCGCCAATGGGGCAGTAAAT